CATTGGCCCACCTCACAAGCGAGTCCAGGTCTCTCCGGATGGCACCCCTTCCCTCCAGCATATCAACCGAGCCACACAGCTTGGTGTCATCAGCAAACTTGCTGAGGGCGCACTCAATTCCATTGTCCATGTTACTGACAAAGATGTTAAACAACACAGGTCCCAACACCGATCCCTGAGGGACACCACTCGTTACTGGTCTCCACGTGGACGTTGAACTTTTGACCACAACTTTGTATGCGGCCATCCAGCCAGTTCTTTATCCACTGAGTGGTCCATCCATCAAATTGGTGTCTCTCCAATTTAGAGACAAGGATGTTGTGTGGGACAGTGTCGAATGCTTTGCACAAGTCCAGGTAGATGATGTCAACTGCTCTGCCACTGTCCATCAGTCCTGTAGCCCCATCATAGAAGGCCACCAAATTGGTATTACATATTACATAGTTTTTCTTCTTGAATCCTAGCAAGAGTTTTTTTTATTCATTATCTAAGGTATTAGTTTTATTTTTTCATCATTTAATGACATACTGAAACTGCAACAATGAAGTTGTTAAAACACACCTTCAAATTTGGAATCATCTAAGTTATTTGTGATATGAGGAAAACTATTGTTTGTATTTTCAGTTATTTTTTATGCAATGCTATTGTCGATGTTGTTAATAACTTCTAGTTGTTAAAATATGTAATCTAAGTTCTGACCAGGTCAGAATTTAGGAGAAAGAAGATTGAATAGAGAGGAGTAAAGTCTGAAGGCTTATAGATTGGGGCTTATCTTAGGTTTAGCTTTACTTATACAATACCTGATAAACTGTTTGAACATGAGCCAGTTATTGAGCTATACTATGTGACTGGGGGAGGGGAACTAATATGGACTAGCTGGAAAAGCTATACCTACTGGAACTGTACGTAAGACTGTTTCTTTAAGATTTTTGTGGTTTTGTAAGCCATACGTGAATCTGGTTTTGTTGGTTGGGTAATATTTTTTTCTTCAAGTGAAATTAAATTCCAAGAATATAATTTTTTCTATTCCCAAGACATGTGCATGTTACTTAAATTGTTTACTCTTGAAATAAGTTGATTAGTAGTTGTCTGACAATTTTTTACTTTCTGAAAACAATTATGGTTTTTAAAATAATAATTGTTCTTGTACTAGACAAAATCGGGGAAATAAGGAATCATTCTGGATTTTTTTTTAATTTATTTTTGTGTGTCATTCAGAGTCTGATACTTCTGAAAGTGAGAGTGATGAAACGATGAGTGAAGAGATTAGTGAAACTGACAGTCAAAGTGAAGAAAGAGAAAATAAATTTTCATTTTTTCCCAATGAAGATCAAGAGGAGTACACCTTCTTTCAGAAAACCTTAACTGCTGTTAAGAATTGGTTCACTCTCTTTGGTTGGTCTAAGGGACAAAATCCTGTTTCAGTACCATATTCACTGAGACGGTAATTCATATCTGCTTAGAGCTAACTTGTGTCTGCCTGATAAAATGTTGACATATATACTAAAGTGTTTTGAATATGATCTGAGGAATATAAATACACTCTAATGCACAGTTGTATATTAAAATTGTAGCATCTATGTGCTGTTTATATGAAAATATTATTTAGGTATTATTTTTCATTTTCTAAAATACATTTTCAACTATGATGCTCTGGTATATCATAATGCAGAGTATGTTAAATATGCAGTTCAAACTATATGTTATCCTTTTAACTGAAATTGATTCTTCTCCTGGAATGAACACAGTTCTAGCAATTTTCCCATCTTTGGCGGCATAAATGTTTTAACAATATGTCTTCTCCCTTTTCCTCTTCCCTCTCTACTTTAAAGATCAAGAAACAGATGGAAAAGCAAATTTCATAATCAACATTCTTGCAAACACCCTGGAAATATATCAGTCTTGGTGGCATCACTTAGTTGATCTTATCCAGCTTGCAACTAAATAATGAAGAAGCCAATGTTCTGGGACAGAAATACATAGACATTTATAAAAATGATGATAGAAATCAGTTATATTTGGTTGAAAGCAGTGACAAACACATTTATTTATGAAATATTTCATATATATTTATTAAATATTCCATGCTGTGCAAAATTCTTACATTATTATAAAAGTTCTGTAAAAAGAAAAAAGTGCTATACTTTTCAGCCGCCTTGGTACTGTTTTTACTTCGTGGTTTATTAAATTTGCCATCATGATGTATATCATGTTAGCTTGGTTTGTGCATTTTTCTCTTGTAGTGATGTGTGTAAAGTCCAGGCAACATCTTCACAAGACAAGGTTTTTAAACAAAACCGTGAGAAAGATACTAAGACTCTTTATGACATGTTATTCCATTTGAGTGGACAATTGTTACCAGACATTACATCAAGCCAAGCATTGGTCCTTGATCCAACTGAACGAATGTTACAACTCCACTGCCAGCACTCTACATTGCTTGCTTTCCTTAAGTAAGTAGATGTATGATAAAATGTGCATGCATATTTCCACTTTTTTGTTAGTGTAGTTCAGACTTAATTCCAACTTAACAATGTATCACAGGTTTAGGGTTTCCTTTATACTTTATCTTTTGTGATTTAAGATTAATGTCTTATAATTTTTTTAACCAAGGTTCTTATTTACTAAATTTACCAAAAATTTTACCAAATTTCTTTCCAAGGTTATCTTCTGAAGTTTACACTAATTGAGGTGTCCTTTGGTAGGGCTATATGCAACACAGGAATCTCACAAGAACCCTGCTTCCTTACTTATGAAAGAAGATGACTCTTAACCTCAGTCCTTAGACAGACACAGTAGATGTATCAGGTTTGTCACTAATGATCTTACCATTCCACTGATGCTCTTTGCCCTGTAATTATTGGTTTTAACAAAAAATTTGTAGACCTATTTTGTCATCTATTAGTCTTTAAAATAAATAATATGCCAATAAATGGAAGCACTACTCCTGCTGCTCAACAGATGTAGCTATTAGCTACTGTCATTGATAATCTTACCTTGTTGCATAATATGGAGCAACTGCCAGAGATAGTGCAAATCAAAAAAGGTTATTAGATTCTTCTTCATCCTTCTTTGCTGTTTTTGCTGTGAAACAGAGAAGAGGTAAGAGGAGCCCAAGAAAGCTTGTTAATATTCAAGAATCACCTCATCCAAGCTCAGGAGCAATGCATCCCAACAAAAAGGAAGTCAGGCAAGAAATCCAGGAGGCTGCATGGATGAAGGCAACCATTCTGTGATTCTTTGTCATTTCATTAGACTTTCTCTGAAGCTAATTTTCATAGAATCACAGAATGGTTTGGGTTGGAAGGGACCTTAAAGATCTTTTAGTTTCACCCCCTTGCTATGGGCAGGGACACCTACTAGACCAGGTTGGTCAGAGCCCCACCCAACCTGACCTTGAACACTTCCAGGGATGCAACAGCCCTAACTTTTGTGGGCGACCTGTGCCAGTGCCTCACCACCCTGAGAGTAAAGAATGTCTTTGTAATGTCTAATCTAAATATCCTCATGTTGTATTGTGTTAAATATTTACCTTAATAAGGAGGAGTTTTTTAAGATGGTGTTCCACAGTAGCAAAATGCAGCCAGTTATGAGAACATTCAGTTATATAGATCCCATCTTTTCTGATGATGAATATTGTAGATTATTCTATTGTAGATACTATTCCTATGTATCTACCAAGTAAAAACACCGAGAGAAAGATAAGATACCTGAAAAGACGAACATTGTATAGCTTCCTCCTTTATGATTTTGGAAGAATTGATGTTTTAAAGGGATTTCATGGGACAGATTGTATGCCTTATTGAAAAATGGGAATTTCAGGCATGGTGAGTTTTAGAACCAGGCTATTGATGCTATTTTGAGTCCTTGATTAAAATATTTGTGCCTTAAAAAAACCTGCTGGGTAACTGTATGAAACATGAAATTTCAATGATCTGAGAAAATAATGTCACTGTGTAAAATAAAATGGAGTAAAAAAATTTGCTATTGCCAGCAAAATATAATTCTGCGGGAAGAGAAATAAGTTGTCATGATCCTAGTTTCTAAATGTGATATAAGATTTTTGATGTACAAAGTAAATCAAATTTGGACTGTATGGTACGAGAAAAGTATGATCACTTCATTTGAGTGAGAGACTGGTTACATAACAAGAAAAGGTCATCTGATTATTATTCACATTAACTGTGTTAAAATCACAGAAAACAATGTAAATCTAGGTACGTTAGGATAATCTTTCTGACCTGAAAGTAAGGAAACTTTTCTGGTCTCCTGAGAAAAATAAACTTAGGAATTCTTCATTATTTTCCCCTTTTCCATCAACCTGCATTGTGTGAAATAAAGAATAGACTTCTCCATATGAAAGTTAGCTTTTTTTGGTATTCAGTCTAATGAAGTTGCCTTTCATTACTTTTCCTATTGAATTTATTAGTCTCTTGAGAATAGATGGCAAGTCAGTTTAACAATTGACAGTGTTTTGAAATACCTTTGCTTACATCCATGAGACTTCTGACATCAGACCTGTAGACAGATGAAGCACCATCAAATTTTAATTCTGCTAATGTTAGGTAACACTGGCCCTTTGACTTTCACATGGAAATGGGTATTACTTGTTTTGATGCTTTGTGCTGTAATAAATCATTTATGGAGGACCAATTCTCATAAAGAAGCCAGTCTGTCCAGAGGTGTGTGTGCTTTTAGCATTTAGTTGTAGGCACTTGAATTTCATAAATAGAAGCTATCTAAAGCAATAAATAGCACTGGATCATTAGTCCAAAGCGCACTTAAATAGAACTCAAAAGAGCTTGTACATAGGCTGAGAAAGTTAAAAAACTTGGACAGCTCTTAAAAAGAATTATTTTGCTGACCTATTAACTTTTCCTGCTTTACGATTTCAGATGCCAAGGAGCATATCTTCCTCATGTTATGCCAGAATTTCTGCTTGAACCTGATGATTATAAGAAATGGATTGAAGTACAGCAAGCTCTACAGAAGGTATGTTTGGGTTTTGGTTTTCTTTTTTGGTATTTGTTAGTTTTGTTCCATTCTTCGTTCTTCATTTTTTAACAAAGACCATGTGCTAAGTGTCAATCTTTCAAAGATTAATGGGAGTCCTCTGAGGACCATGAGTATTCCTGCT